GCCCCTTATCTCTCTCTCTCTCTCTCTCTCTCTCTCTCTCTTGCTACCTAGCCCCACCCATCCCGTGTTCAGTAGTACTTACCTTCAGACCCACCTTGCTTCTAGGTAAGGCCGTTGGGGGAAGGAGGGGAAGAGGCATCCCTTGTTTGTCTTAGAGTTTCTAGCCCTAGCTAAAGTGTCTACATGCAGTATGGACACAAAGGGCTGGTGAGTAAATGACAGGAAGGACAGCCGCAGAGATCACAGGTGACACGCACAACCTGGTCAATGAGAAAAAGCCTGTGGTTTGGAGCCAGGAGCCCTGGCTTTGAATTCTAGTTCTGCTGCCTCCTTTCCTGTGTGGCCTGACACATGTTCTTATCCCTATGGGATGATGGCTTCTCTGTCGTAAGTGGAGCCACTTCCTGTTGGGATTTCTAGGAGCCAACACAAAAATGGTCTTCTACTCCCGAGTTCTGAACAGACTATGAGAGGGATGGCAATGAGCTACCAGCTTGATTACTGACAAAGGCAGCTGGAGATGTGGCTTCAATCTATAGTGAGTGGTTTTACTAATAGCCAGGACCTAAATCAATGGAAATGTGAGGACTGGGATACAATACAACTCCCCTCAACACTTGACCCCCAGGGCTTTAGGGTGGAATGATTTCATTTGGGAGGTGAGTCAGTCTTTTCTCTCAATCAGGTTTTGAATATTTTGGAAATCAGCTGAAATGAGCATAGACTGGGCTTATAGGACGAGCCGGGCCTTTATCTAAAAAACCTGTATGTGCCTGCTGTAGCCTCCTGGGCTGTTCTGCCCCCTAATTAGTGATTCTTTGGGGCCAGATAGGAGATGGTTTTGTTAATACTAGATAGAGGGGTTGTTCCAAGCAAATGTTTAGGAAACCCACTATTGCCAAAATGGGTTCCTTGCCATAATGCCGTAAGTAATATAATAATAATAATAATAATAATAATATAATAATAAACCTTTCTCAAGCTACATTTTTAGAAGTTTAATCTGCTAGATCAGATTCTGGCTAATCTGTTTACTTAAGCACTAAGGAGAAAGCCAGAGAAAAATGGTGCTATCACGTACCATGAGCATCAAGAAGAGATTTATTTTAACAACTGTTTGAACAGTTTGTAAGATTCCTGAAAACTTTATACCTCCACCCCTCTTTGCTATTTTTATTACCATCTGTCTGCTCTCCTATAAGGATTAGCTAGAAAGGTCTGGAGATAGAGAAGACTTGTGTGTGTATTTTCAGTAGCAGCAAACAGCCATGAGGTGACCGATCCTACCAAGTGGATAAGGAGCCCCGAAGGGGAGTATGGGTCGTAACATCCTGCAGGCTCCACCTCAGGAGTCTGTGCAAGGAGGGGAAAATGATGGAGTAGCCAAATGGAGATGGGGGTGGGGGACACAGGACGTGAATCCAGGACAGAGAAATTACCCTAGGTTCTTAATCAGCGAGAGACCCCCACATGTTCAGATTTCCTGAATTTTGCTAGACTAAAATTGGTGCTTATGATAGCCAGAAAAATTTTTGTTGACATTTCCTGATTTAAAAATAAGACTAACAGCTCCTCTTTAAGTGAGTTATCGTAATATTACAGATATTTAAATTTGGATTCTTAGATCAAGTGGATGAAATAATGCAGAAGTTAATTCATAAATCTTGGCTATCAGAAAGCGAATAGGACTTGTGAGTTGTTGGACAGCATTCCTGTGTACATTAGTTTTTCCCAAATCCTTCTATGGCCGGTATTTTATCCTAAGAGTGGCAGTGCAGAATGGGAAACATTCCTGGCCCGAGTGCTCAGGCTAAGAATCCACTGAAACTTGTGGGATGAGCATTTTACCCAAATATAAACCTTGGGGTGATTAAGCTAATTTACTCTTTTCAAACCATGACATCCTGTTTACAAGAAAGAAGACCTAAAAGTCATCTTGAGGATGAACTAACTTTTAAAATCAACATGTTGGTGAACTTAAGTGTTAAATGAGTCACAACTATTTGGATGAAGATTTTCTGGTTTTGAAAGAGAAAGTACTTGGGGGAAAATGTCATTTGGGTTTCACTGAGATGGAAACATTTGAAAAATGGAATTTGCTAGCGAGCCTATCATATAACAAGTTTCCACACACACTTCTGAAATCACTTCTGTGAATTTGTAGAGCTGCTTACCCCCTTGGGCCAAGTCTTAACCATCACGAGATGCGTCTGGCCTCCACAATCCTTCCCAGAAATGATACTTTTTTCTACAATATTTTGAAAGTAACATTACTTACTTTGGAAACTGTGTTTCTAAAATTATTTTTTGTCCCAAAAGCAAGCTGAACCTTGGTCTGTTCATATTACTTGCCTGATAGAAAAATGTTCTCTTTTTACCCTGACCCTTTGATATTTGAAAATGTCATTGTGGGCAACTGAAAGTCTAATTTATAGTCATGTTACATTCAGTATTTTGTGTCTGACTTTAATGTATACTTGCTATTAATGTATAATGTTCTTCTGAATGTGTGGATTGGATCTTTGTGAACTGAGTACATCCCTGACCCCTCTCAGCATCCCATCTCTGCGTTGTTCTTACTACAGTCCTTATCTCTCACTCTGCCCCATTAGGCATTAGATCTTTATTTAAGGATCCTGCTGCCTACCTCCATTTGCTGGTCCTCAAGCACTTTAAACCTATCATGTAGCAGTTTCAATTACTTTTTTTTAAGTTTACTTATTTTATTAATCTCTATACCTAAAGTGGGGCTCGACCCTACAACCCCGAGATCAAGAGTCAGTATTCTTCTGACTGAGCCTGCCAGGCCCCCTTCCCTCCCCTTTTTTTAGTCACTGTTCCTTCCCCCTGTGTTTCCTGTTCAGTTGCTAGTATCTTCTCCTCTGCTGGGAGGAGGGACAGAGGGACTCTGGTCATCCTAGAGCCCTTCCTTGATAATGCTGCCTCTATTGCCTTTTCTTTTCCATCCAGCCCTAACTCAGGAGCAGTAAACCCTTGGCTAGTTCAGAACAAAAGTTTCTCATGGGACTTCCTTATCAACCTTGCTTCTCTGCCGCTGGGTCTTCCCACGTATACAGTCAAACATGAACAGAAGACTTACCACCTGTAAACTCTACCTATGGCCCATCTCATCAGGAGCAAGTTTTTACAACCTGATACAACTCGTTTTTTCTAGATTCCTCTCTTCTACCCATCTACTCCCTGGCCCCCATCCATATGTAACATTAGCTACCAAAAGTCCTTTGAATATGTCGTGTATTTTTACACTGGATTTTTCTCTGTTTTGATCTTTATTACTGAAGACTCCCTTTCTTCTCACCTTTCCCCTTTCAGAAGTAAAAACAAATCACTTTTTCCATGTCCTCTCGTAAGCACTTTTTTAAATTCTTTCTTGACGTCACTTGATCTACCCCATTATGAACAATTGTCTGTGTGAGGCTTTTTCAGGGTAAATTATGAATTTCTCAAGAGAGAGACTTGTTCTCTCTCTTCTGAAGAGAAGTCACTGTTGCAGTGCTGGGGAGTTACTAAGTGCCCCATTAATATGTGCTGAGGTAGGGATGTGCTGAAGTGTATTCAGATTCTCATAGGTGTAGTTTCTGTATCAGATGGATGGAGAAGTAGCAAAGGTTAGAGTAAAGCAGAAGAGCTCCTTGGCTATTTTTTTTCTTGAGAGCCAAGGATTTAAATTTGTGACATACATAGGAATTCCTCTGAAAAGTCAAAAACTAATGGATGGCGGTATTACCTGCAAATTACTGTTTGTTCCGATTAGCCCACCAAGGCATTGCCTCAGGCATTTGTTATCAATCCCTTGTATTGGTGATTTTAGAATAAGAACCACTTTCTGACCAGGTTGACTTTTGATTGGTTTGCAAGAATTGATGATTGGCAGTAATGTAAATATGAGAAGTTAAATGCATACCCAAAAAAGTGTCATTTCTATCTTTTACTTGTTATAGTAGAGAAATGAGTACACTTGGAATACTTAAGTACTAGGCTAGTTGAGGCAGATTATAATTAAAAAAAAAAAAGAACAGGGGCGCCTGGGTGGCTCAGTGGGTTAAAGCCTCTGCCTTCAGCTCAGGTCATGATCCCAGGGTCCTGGGATCCAGCCCCACATAGGGCTCTCTGCTCAGTGGGGAGCCTGCTTCCCCCTCCCTCTCTCTGCCTGCCTCTCTGCCTACTTGTGATCTCTGTCTGTCAAATAAATAAATAAATAAATAATCTTTAAAAAAAAAAGGAAAAAGAAAGCATCTGAGAAAGGTTTATTTAGGGGCACCTGGGTGGCTCCGTGGGTTAAAGCCTCTGCCTTCAGTTCGGGTCATGATCTCAGGGTCCTGGGATCCAGCCCCGCATCAGGCTCTCTGCTCAGCAGGGAGCCTTCTTCCCCCTCTCTCTCTCTGCCTCTCCGCCTACTTGTGATCTCTGTCTGTCAAATAGATAAATAAAATCTTAAAACAAACAAACAAACAAAAAAAAAATAGAACAAAGGAAACTCATGATGACCTGGAGATGTAATGAAAGGTTTCATTAAGAACCTAGTGACTTGGGACACCTGGGTGGCTCAGTTGGTTGGACGACTGCCTTCGGCTCAGGTCATGATCCCGGGGTCCCGGGATCAAGTCCCACATCGGGCTCCCAGCTCCATGGGGAGTCTGCTTCTCCCTCTGACCTTCTCCTCGCTCATGCTCTCTCTCACTGTCTCGCTCTCAAATAAATAAATAAAATCTTAAAAAAAAAAAAAAAAAGAACCAAGTGACTGAATATAACACTTGGATGTTAACAAACTGGGAATTAAAATAAAAACTTAAAAATAGTGACCGTTTCTTGAAAAATAGATAAGGACAGGAAAGAATCCATATCAAGAAAATTATGTGGACCGATCAACAGGATTTCCGTTGCATAGCCACAATTCAGCAGATACTTTTAACAAGTTATCCATATTGTTCACTTTCATAAGAATATGAAGTGATTTCGTTCTTTGTTTTCCCACACAGGTGGATCAGATATTGAATACCTAGACTTCTACAAGCCTGTCGTCTGGTTTTGGATCCTTGTAGGACTTGCTTACTTTGCTGCTGTCCTCAGCATGATTGGAGACTGGCTCCGAGTAATATCCAAAAAGACAAAGGAAGAGGTAAGAGTGAAGGAGTGTGCAAAAAACACTCCTCTTGAGCTAATTCCGTAAACATTATTTTTCATCTTTTTTGACATTTTTAAAAATAGATGTTATTTAAGATTTTTAAGATTTATGTTTGGTGTGAATTTGCTGTACGTTAAGTGTAATTCAGGTAACAGATACTTGCTAAACACCCCTATGTACCAGGTGCTGAGGCTAATTTATAATGAAAAAAAGATGTAATTTAAAATATTTTCCTCGCTATTTCTTCTTGCTTTTTCTTTTATTTCTTTTTTTCTTTTTTCCTTAAGGGCAAAGGCAAATGTTATTCCACAAAGAGAAACAGAATAGAAAAATACTTATGTCAAAATGTCAGTAGCATGGAAAAGTGAATGTATCATATAATATTGAATCTTTTTACTATATTGAATTATTTCCTTCTTTCTTATATCCCTGTAAATGTGTGCAAGTACACACAGGTATGTATACATATGTGCCCAAAGCTTTATGAGTTACGGCCAAGTGCCCTGTGTACAGATTTCAGGTGTTAAAAAGATACTGTCTTCCCCATCTTATACAGCTATACATATAGAAATGAACATTAGAATTTTGACACATAAAGTTTTAGAAATTTTAAAATTTTAATCTTGTTTTTGAAATTTTATACTTTGGAAATTACATTTGGATTTCATATTTACAGGCCCAGAAATATTATCAGTTAAGTGTTCATAGTCAAGATGCCAGCAAGGTTAGTTTCTGGTCAGATCTCTCTCCTTAGCTTACGGATGCTGCCTTCTCCCTGTGGCCTTTACATGTTCTTTTCTCTGTGCACCTGCATGGAGAAAGCACTCTGGTGGCTCTTCCTCTTCTTATAAGGATGTCAATCAGCCCTGTAGACTCAGGAATGCCGTCTTATGACCTCACTTAACCTTAATTACCTGCTTAAGGCCCCATCTCCAAAGACCATCCCACTGGGGGTTTAGGGCTTCAACTTATGCACCTTTAGAGGACACATTTTGGGCCAGAACACCATCCTTTGAAATAAAGTGAAATTCCTACATTACCTGGCTTACTTAGCATGAAAAACAAGTTCACGTGCTTTCCTATGCCTGATCTCCATGATTCTCAAACAGAAGTATGAGGTGGGTGGGTCACTGTGCTTTCAGGTTTTTAAACACTGAAAAGTAGTAAATTTTTTTTTTTTCGTATTATAAGTCTTTGAGCTTTTGCCTAACCTTTGGAGTCACATGTGGTTTCTGGCCACCACATCTGTAGAAAGCTTGTGTGAGTAAAGGCCACGAGTAGAAAGTTCCTGGGAGCCCTCCTGGAGCGAGGGCTGCAGCTGCTCTGGTCGGTTGAGCCTATTAAAATGGAGCCACCAGTTTGAGCAGATGTTTGTTTTGTTACTTATTTATAATCCAGTTTAGGGAGATGACAGAATGAAGTTACAGATTCAACAGAAAGAAAGGTACAATTTATAACTGATCTATAGATGATCAGAGCCAAAGGTTTTATAAACAGAAATACTACAAAAAATGTCTACAGCGATGAAAGAGGGATTATTCGATTTTATTTTGAAATAACTCCTGAAAGGGTATAATTAAATAAAATACAACTAGATACATTCTAGTTGTCACCTTTATGCAGATGGACGTGCAGGCCGGGTGACGGTTCACCGTGTGTTCCTTACCTCCTGTCCCTAAACCATTCCAGATACCGTAACCTTTACAAACCGCCTACGTGTTCAGAAGCAACAAGGTTATGTCTCGCTCTCAGTCTTGATGAATAAAAATGCTACATATTTTTGATAACTTGAAATTCTATTAAAAATATAACTAATATAAAATATGCAAAATAATATATAGCATTAAATTTCCAGGTGATATTAAAACACATGCTTTCCCTGATTGAAAATATTTTGCCTAATAATGTCTGTTACATATTTTAAAAATATTCTTCAAATCAGTTGAGTATAAAAATATACATCTAATCACATATGGCCTTATTTCTGTGTTTGTTAATATTAAAATATATTTTGTTTCCAATAATAATGGAAATAAGGACTAATTTTAATGAAAATATGGTTAGAAATAAGGAAAAATCATTTTTGATGAACGTATGGGAATAAAATATTTTGGTATACCTGATCCATCTGAAATATTTGCAGAAGAAATGATTAGTGTAAGCAAGACAGCATTGTTTCAAAATGTCACACATAATTATAGCTGATCTGCAATCCTCAAGGGAAATAATAATGACCTCAATCCTTTTTCCATGGAACATGAGTTTCTGTAAAAGTGTTTATTTGTCTCATTATTTTTGAAAGTTTAATGGAGAGTAGGCACATGTTCAACAAGAATTGTATGACTAATTATCTTTTTCTATTAAGCCATGTACCCTCTTCTGAGGAAATGATGTTTCCATTTAGAAAATAAAGATTACTTAGGTATTCTGGATAATACAATAAAACCACTCTCTGAGGCAGGTGTTATAAAAAGAAAAATGCGACCACAAAAGTCAGAAGGGAAATTTTGAAACAAGCACAGAATAGTGCCTCCTTATTATGCATCATTTTCTACTGTTCACGGGCCTTGTTTGAAAAGCCTGTGATTTCTGCATAGGTCTTGTATTGATCAGTGTATACGCTCCCGTGTCTGGAGTGTTCCTGTCTATATGTGAAACGGACACCCCCACAGACCAGCCCCCACCCCTGCCTTGCACGCCAGTGTTGTCTGACAGCTGGCCGCAGCGAGTGGACAGGCCAGCATCACGTCGTTACCAATGTCATCTGTTTTACACTCTGGAGGGGTTCATGCTAACGGAGATGCTCATGCCAGCAGGTTGGCCTCCCGTCTAAGTCAGAAAACTGCCTTGGGTTGGGAAGCTGTGGTGCTGGAAGGCTTGCAAGACTGTGCCCGGAACTTAGTTTGCCCCAGGGCCCTGAGAATATGGAGGAAGACGGTTTTCGGTTTTCGTCTGCTGCTTAGCTGGTGGGTCTTTTCCAGACCTATCCATCGGGATGGGGAGGTCTCGCTTTTATGAAAGAGCTGGGACTTGACAACCCTTTTTCCTGTCCAGGATGGCAAGTGTAGAGCATTTGCAGCCTGAGTCCTAGAAAGGTAGCAGCAGACCACTTTCTATTATTCCTTATGGGAAAGGGGCTTTGACTAGGAAAGGCTCGGCTGCCCTTTGAAATCAGTTAGCCTTTATTCTGAAAACCTGAGGGAGACTCTGAAGGATTGGAAGTAAGTGGAATGAGTGATCGTGTCAACATTGAGGAAGATGGATTAGGAACAAAGCTGGATGCAGGGAAATCACTCGGGAGAGGTTAGTGGAGGAGTCCAGGTAGTACAGAACGAAGTCTCTGTGGTGGCAGGGGGACAGAGGTGAAGGGAGGGGTTTCAAAATTATTTGGGGGATCAAAGGAATAGGACTTGGTAACCCATTAGCTTTGGGCAGTAAAGAGAAAAGGAGGGTGACCTCCATGGTTCTGGCTTTGGATGGAATTACAAAAGCCAGGAAGATGAGAGATTCTAAGGGAGGAATGAAGATGTCATTTTGAACATGTTGTGATGGAAAGATGTGTTGGGTATCAGGGGGCTAATGTGAATGTAAACAAAGTTAGAAGGATGGGAGCTGGAGAGATAATTGGGGGGGGATGTTCATCACTACATAAATGACAGTGTAAGCTGTGAGTGAAAATAAATTCACCTAATTGGAATTTGTCAAGTAAGTCAACAGTAGAGTTGAACATGGAACCTGGTGTAATACCTTCATTTAAGGGGGTTGGGGTGAAATGCAGGGACCATAAAGGACTATTCAGCAAATAATGTATTCAAATACATTGATTCACAATAGGGTCTGTTGGAGGGACAGATGAATTGAGGTTTTGAAGAAAGGATGATTATCATGATCAGATGGGCTAAAGACACTGGGGATAAAAGGAATGGAACATAAAACAGAGAAGTCACAAGAATTCCCATGAGGTTGTGCTCCAGGAGTGTCACTCCTATAGGTAAAAAAAGTGTAAACCTTGCTTCCTGGGATTGTGCCATGGAATGGGTATATTCTAAGATGGGCCTTTGGGCACATCAAGCACAATTCCCAAGGCCAACAGTCAGTGTTTTTAATGGAAATAGGAGCCCTTGGACCACAAGTGACAGAAAGCTATGTGCATGGCAGGGCATGGGGTTGAGCATTTTGACCGCCCTGATCCTGGGTCCTGCTGGGCATGCATACGTGGTGAGTATGGACAGTGAGAGGGAGGGAGGTAAGCTGTGGAATGGCAGCGTCAGATTGGCAGGACAGGGAAAAGACTGGAGGCATGGAGACCAGCTGGCAGATTATTTAACATCTAATTGATTCCTAAATCATTCATTTAAAAATTACTTATTAAGTCCTGTATGATGAGTGCTGTATTAGGTCTGGGAGTAACTTCATTGGTACTAATTTGAGGCTGATGTCTTTTTTGGGAAGACTCCACAGGTGATGTATTTCCTAACTGATCTTTACAATGTTGGCTTTTACTTTTCTTCTAGAGATGGAAAAAGGAGTTTTGACTAAGAAGGCACTTAGTCTTTGATTAATTCCTAAAATAGCCTGCTTTTACCTTTTTCCATTCTCTTTGCCCCCTTCCACCCTCCCTCCCTTCCCTTCCTTTCTTTAACCTTTAAACAGCATGTATCAGATTTTGTAGTTGTTGCTTTGATTTCCAGCATCAGGTGGGGGTGGGGGGTGGCATTACTGTTCAGTTCAAATTTTTTCTTGGTGTATTTTTGTCGTTCTCTGTTGAGATGCTCAAGTAGTGGTAAATAACTAAAGTTGGACTATGGGCACAATATACAGTGATCGTAAGACTTTGCAGGTTTATATTTCCGTGCATATAACTCTTTGCCTAAAGAGTAACAATAAAATAAAATCAATGCCAACGGTATCATGATGTGTCACTTAAAATAAGGCAGATATAATGGTCCCTTCTTTTCTATCCTGTGGGGTGGGAGGTGTCCCTCACTATGCTA